TAGTTACATCATACCACATGAATCAGCATAAAACACAATAGAGATAGCATACCTCTAAGGTGCTGGGTGTTTATCAGCGAACAACACTCCCCAAATAGTTTTGATGTAGGATGCTAGCCTTGAACCGCGGCTGTTATCTGAGCTGCTAGCCTGTCAAGAACCTGGCAAGAAACATGGCCATCACTAAACAATTTTTTCATTGAATTACAAATACTTTATGTAGTAAACCAGCAATTGCTTCATGTAGTAACAAAAGAGATAACAATGGTCGATAAAAAAGATCATACCAGAGGAGTAAATTTAACAAACACCTAGTGAGCATGCTCAAACACCACTTTTTCCACTATAAAAGTAACGTAGAAAGAAGTGCAAGAGTATGAAGATATAATAACCCACTTTCTATTAGGACTCCCATTGACAGGTTTTGTAAATATTTCCTCGGGTTCCTCCAGCTATAGTACTCAACCCACCCTGCACGTTGAACAGGACAAAAACTTCAAAAAAGTGCAATGGATGTAAACTAAAAACTGGGAATAAGCCAACATGCTTAAATTCCGTTCATAAAATAGATTCCATTAATACTTTTGTAAGTAAAGCTTTGGCTGTTTGCTGATTTATAGTACTGCATGATTCTAATGTGAAACACATATCTATGTCCAATTAGGTTTACAATGATGGAGGACCTCTCACCCTTAAAATCACCATCCTAATCTATATGTCAGATTTAACCAAAGAAGAAATGGCCCCAAAGTAGATTTGATTTAAAAAATGAAATGGTGGTAATTAGAAACAGTCATAAAAATCTAAACCACATATTTACCCGCAACCTATGAGCAACTTTCAACCCAATTTACATAATTAAATAATTCAGATGTTCTCCATAGCATGTAATTTTTGACTCAACACCTTTAAATAACAAAATACAGTGACACTTCCCTCATAATTAAGCCAAAATAATTAATCCAATGTCACCTTGCAAATGTCACCTGCCTTTTGGGCCAGAAATAAAGAAAAGTGAATCAAATAAATGATACTTTTGTCTCTGAATTTCTTTCGAAAAGATTACAACATAAAGCATTTAGCATTCATTTGGCTTATAAGAACCCATTGATCTCGAGAAGGCGTACGATAGGGTGCCAAGGGAGGTCTTATGGAGGTGCCTTGAGACGAGAGGAGTTCCCATCGCGTACACTCGTGCGATCAAGGATATGTACAATGGGGCTATGACTAGGGTAAGGACCTTCGGGGGCGACTCTGAGTCATTCTCGGTAGGGATGGGGTTGCACCAGGGGTCTGCCCTTAGCCCTTTTTTGTTCGCCTTGGTGATGGACGTCCTAACTCAAGGTGTGCAAGAAGGGGTCCCATGGTGCATGCTTTTCGCGGATGATATTGTGCTTATCGACGATACACGTGAGGGACTAAACGATAAGTTGGAACGATGGCGCCTTGCCCTTGAGACTAAAGGGTTCAGAATAAGTAGGAACAAGACTGAATACATGGAGTGTCGTTTCAGCGGCAGGGAAACAGAATCAGAGGTGGAAGTTAGGATTGACTCTCACCTAGTACCTAAGGTAGA